TGCCAGGACTCAAACCGTGGTCAACTACATGGGAGTCCAGTGATGTAGCCATTACGCTAACTGCTGGTCCCTTTCTTTAGAAATGTTTTATCCTCTACTTTCAGAGTTAATAAACATTCGGTTTTGATTCTGTGCATGTATCTGAATGTAGTCATGTCTTTTTTGTAACACTTTAGAGAAATACATATCTTTATATAATATACATTTAAATATATACTATACATATAAATTTTTAGTGCTCAAATCATAAGTATACATACCTGATTGAGTTACTATGAGCTTAGAGTCATAGAGTCAGTCTGGAACTTGTTTTGCTGTAATAATAGTTTTGTTTTAGTTTATTCTTGAAGTGTTGTGCTCCTTTCCAGAGGATCATGTTTACTTCCCATGTAGATCCCACCCATGTGATGGGCCTGTACCCCGACCTGCTGCCCACAGACTACAGGAAGCAGTTGCAGTACCCTAACCCATTGCCTGTGCTCTCCGGGGCTGAACTGGAGAAGGCTCACTTAGCTCTGATTGACTACCTGACGCAGGTAGGTATAACCAGAGGCGTATGGAAGAGCTTACCTGCAAGTTCCAACACCTCTTTTTCTGTGGCAGGGAATCGCAGGCCTTCGATATTGCCGCAGGCAGTCTGTGTGAGGTTTCTCCCCTGTTTCTTCCAATTTAACAGTACCATTGAGCTGCTTTTTGTCAAATCCTGATATACATTAAGCTATAATAGAATCTAAAAAGGATACATTTTAGTTACACACTTGGCCATAATCTGGGACGAGCTAAAGGCTTGGGGTAGATTGCGACACTGGGACCTTGTTAGGGTTGCTGTATCTCTCCTTTCTCTCATTCATGAAGAAATAAATAAAATTTAAAAAGAATGATAAATAAATGTTATGCACCATGCATAATTTGAGGGGAAATGCCAGCCCTATGAGGAAAACTTGGAAAACACAGAAAAGTACAAAGCAGAAATATGTCACCTATAAGTCTGCCACCAGAAATAGGTAACTAATATTTTGTTGTTGTCCTTCTAGAGTGTTATGTATATTTATGAATGAACTTTTGTTCATTTATCGGTTTATGTATTGCTAATGGGTATCAGACTATTGTTTTATAGCCTAGTTTAGGAACTCTTTAATAAATACTCGTTGATAACATTTTTCAGTAAGAAGGCATTTAGATTAAAAGTTTTTTAGTTTACTTTTACTATGGGCAAATAAGAGAACTTTTAAAGTCACCACTAAAACTAACATTTATAGTAAAGCCTTTAGAGCCAAACCTGTGCCCTGGTGGCTAGCCATGTGTCCAAACATGTGGTTTGGATCCTAGCTCCAGGATGGCTTGAAAAACATACCGGAGTATATACATATGTGCCCCAAATCCTGGTAGGATGAAGAAATGAAAAAGAAGGGATTGTGGTATAACCATGATCCATGCCCCATTGAGGGGTGCTTTCTCCTACTCCCTATCTCTCTAGTGAGAGACAAGCGCACACACACACACACACACACACAAACACATACACAGACACACACATGCACACACACCCATATATACTGTGTATGTGTCTGTGTGTGTGTATAAACCCAAAATTGCCATATTTTAAATTTTCCGTGCACACATTCAGAGTTGGAGACCTTATCAGTATCCTTTTCTTTCTAAATGTTCTGTAGACTTTTACACGGAGGCTCTGGGTAGGCCCTGAAAAGCGTTGCTGCAAAAACTGTAATGCTGCTCTCCACTGCCTGACCCTGGTCAGTGAGTGCCTGCAGTTCCGAGCAGGCCTGTATAGCCTTGGCATGCCCATTTGTGCCCAGCAGCCCTGGGGAGCACACACGTGCCTCTGCCTGCACTCTGTACGGCTCTGTGCCAAGTGCGAAGGGCTCCTGGGCCTCGTATCTCCCAAAGCCTGCAGGACTGTGGACAGCCTCCATTGCCTGTATCTGAGCTTTAGCTGTCTGAGCAGTCTTCCTGGGCTCTCTTCACTGATGTTGGGAAGGTGTGAAGGTAACTGACAGAGAAGTAAGACCATGGGCTAGAGTCAGACTAGTCCTAGACTGGCCCTTTAGTTTTGCCACGAAACTGGGTGATTCTGCTCATCTGAAGTTCTAGAAAAGCAAAAACTAGTCTCTGGTGATAACCATGAGATCAATGGGGCAGATGTTGGATGGCATTGATTGAAAAGAGCATGAGGGAACTTTCTGGGGTGACAGAAATATTCTCCTCCTTGATTGAGGTGGTGGTTACATGTATATACAACATTTGTCAAAATGCATCTATCAGTATACTTTAAAAGAGTACCTTTTGGGGCCAGCAGGAGGCATAGTGGTTAAGGCCCTGGGTTCCCACATGGCCAACCATTGTTCAAGTCCCAGATCTGGCCACTTGAAAATCATGCCAGGCATATGTGCATGCAGACCCAAGAGGAGAATGGAAGAGAGGGGATTATAGTATGGCCATCCTCCCAGGGAGTGATTTCTCAATTTCCCGCTCTGTCTCTCTGTCACTCTCAGGCATGTGCACATGCCTTATGCTTAAAGAAAAAAAAATTTAAGAAAAGAGCGCATTTGTATGTAAGTTATACCTCAATAAAGTTTATTTGAAAAAAAAAAAAAACAGGCTTTGAATCAGACCCCCAATTTAAATCCCACCTTTCTACCTCTTATGACGTATCTAATGTCTGTGCCTTAGGTTCTTCACCTGCAAAATGGGGATAATAATACCTGCATCTGTTCTGAGTTTGAGACGGGATAGTATATAAAGTGCTTGGCACAGCGCCGAGTGTGGAGTAGATACTCAATATATAATTATAATTATATCATGTTATCGTATCTATAGCAATTTGGCAATCACCTGCTTTGATCCCTGGTAAAAACTAAGTACTAATGTGAGATCAGGGCTCATAAGCATGAGCTGCTTATGAGGATTCAGCGTTACCCAGTAGCTCAGGGGACAAAGGAACACGTAGTCCTAGCCTTGGGTCAGCATTTTGACCTTTGCAGAAACGAAGTCAGCTGGTGAAGAAGCTGAACGATTCTGACCACCAGTCTAGCACCTCCCCACTCATGGAAGGCACTCCCACCATCAAGTCCAAGAAGAAGCTGCTGCAGATCATTGATACCACCCTGCTCAAGTGCTACCTCCACGTGAGTTCCCCAGGCACAGACGCCCACTGCCCTGAAACTCTGGAGAGAGAAAGGGAGCTCGACACTTTGGGGGACCTACCGCGACTAACACTGAGACCTCTGATGATGGGAACCAGCTAGTCTTTGCTTGAATTTCTTACAATTAAGAGGATAAGGCAAGATACTAACCCAGAACCTTTCAGTAGGCCATTCTTCTCGGATGAGACTGAGGTTAGTGCTACAGGTACACAGGGACAGTGTTTCCTCAAAGTGTCCCCGTCTCCCCCAGAGCATGAAAACAGACTGTGAAAGGGCAGCAGGGCTGTGAAAGTCACAGCCTGCAGTCCTGGGACAGGGCTGCGTTCTCTTGCTGTGCTACACCACCCCCCACCCCCCCACCCCCACTGAAGTCCTGCCTCCCCTGCAGACCAATGTGGCGCTGGTGGCCCCCTTGCTGCGGCTAGAGAACAACCACTGCCACATCGAGGAGAGCGAGCACGTGCTGAAGAAGGCTCACAAGTACAGTGAGCTCATCATCCTGTATGAGAAGAAGGGGCTGCATGAGAAAGGTGACTAGGGGAGGGAGGAGCTCTGGGGTGTCGACAGGGGAAGCCCAGGAGGTGTGCTAATCACCTCGTGGGGGAGAGGCTCATGAACTTGTTCTTGGTCTCTGTGACCAGCTCTACAGGTGCTGGTGGACCAGTCCAAGAAGGCCAATTCCCCCCTGAAAGGCCACGAGAGGACAGTGCAATATCTGCAGCACCTGGGTAGGTCTGCTCTTGGGAGAGGGTGGGAGTTGTGTGTGGTGGCATGCGCCTGGGGTCCAGGAGGATCACAACTTTGAGCCCAGCCTGAGCAACATAGTAAGACCCTGTTACTAAAATAAACAGAAAAATAAGTACATAAAAATTTTTCAAAATGACGTGAGAAGTGGCTTGTATTCAGTCGACCAGGTCTCCCTCTAATTCTGATTCTGGCCAATCAGTGTGAATTTGCTCCGTTCCTCCAGACGGGGTAAAAGTTCCTCAGTGATAGGGCCAGGCAGTCCTGGGTGGCTGCTGCTTAAACAGAGTCACCATGTTTGGAAGATGAATTCTGGGGCCACCTGCCTGCTGCTGCCCTTGTCCTGTGGGTACAGTGGGCTCCTCCTGCTGACAGATCTTCCTTACTTTTCCCTCTAGGCACAGAAAACATGCATCTGATTTTTTCCTACTCTGTGTGGGTGCTGAGGGACTTCCCAGAAGATGGCCTGAAGGTAGGTCATGGGAGCTCCTTGGATTGATCTGGGACCACAGCCAGTCCTGGCATTTGGGACAGAAGGAGATGGATTCATGCAGTTGCTTTCTGTTTGAAAGGGTCAGGCGGGGAAAATGAGAGAACGGTATATATAGAACAGTAGTGAGAGCCGCACAGGCATCAGGAGACCTGCAGCCTCGTCCATGACGTGCTCTCAGCTGCAGATCCTTCTTGTGCGGCCTTTCACCTCCAGAAGCCTCTCCGACTCGTCCCTCCACTTGCAGGCGCGCGTGTCTGGTGGAACTGCAGTCAGAATGTTCTGCTGCTAGAACTCAGGTTTGTTCTGACAGATATTTACCGAAGATCTCCCAGAGGTGGAGTCTCTGCCACGAGATCGAGTACTCGGCTTCTTGATAGAGAATTTTAAGGGTCTGGCTATTCCTTATCTGGTAAGATACATTTTGGTCTGTGCTATAAAGCTTTACAAAAGCCCAAGATCTAGGACCACATGGTTCAGTTAGTGGGTGTTCTGGTGTGAGGTTTGTGTCACTTGGGGACTGGTAGAAATGTAAGGAAGAGAGTTATTTCAACTTCCTTTGAAGAAAGAGCTCCCCGTAGACCAAGGTGGAAGTGTCCCTTTTAATGGTATCTTCTTAATAAAGTACAGAGGGATGAAATAATGATCTTTGAGAAAAAATTTCAAAGCCGCATCTGCACAACCAAACTCAGCTGTGAACACAGGATAATCAGCTATTTTTTTCTTTAAGAATTATTTATTTTATTTAATTTATCATCATTATTTTATCTGCTATAGGGCATATGCACTCACCAGAGCGAGAGAGACAGAGAGAGAAAGTGAGAAAGCAAGGCCTACCAGGGGTAGGACTTGAACTGTGGTTGGCCATGTGGGAGTCAGCACCTTAACCATCATGCCACCTGCTGACCCCTGAACTAGGTTTCAAGTACCAAAATACACATGGTTTAACCATTAACATGGGCTAATATAAGAATTTGGAGCACTGTGGGACAAAATTAGTAAAACAAGTTTAGGTTGGAGATTGACCTGATAGGGCTTCCATGTGAAACTTCTCAGTGATTTTAGAAGAGCTGTCCTTGATAATCTGCAGCTTAGGTAGGGGGGATAACCTGGAGGAAGATGCTGGGCCTTAAACATGGGAGGGTGACTGGGAGGCCAGGGCACAGCATCGAGGGTACCAGGCAGCCCTCCATCTCGTCTCAGGAACACATCATCCACGTTTGGGAGGAGACAGGCTCTCGCTTCCACAACTGCCTGATCCAGCTGTACTGTGAGAAGGTGCAAGGCCTGATGAAGGAGTATCTCCTGTCCTTCCCCGCAGGTACTGGGAGCCGTAGAAAGCTGGGGGCCCCAGGCCTGGAGACGAGGCAACCCGGGTACCCTGTGTTGTGAGGGGAAGCAGGCCTCTCCATCCTCTGCCCAGTAGGGCAAGAAGTTCCTCTGAGCAGCCAGGGAACTGAGTGACCCAAGATCAGCAGGGGAGACTTGGCAGCTCTGGTCTAAGTCCCAGTGTATCTAAGCATATCTAGGAGTCACCCCTGGGGGCAGGAAGAAGGAACAGGTTCTCCCTAAGTAAGATAACAGTTGTGCTGATAAGAAATAGGTTTAAAAAACCAGAGTGTTTTTCTTTTCTTTTTTTTTTCTTTTAGTTTTTTTTTATTTAAAGGCTGTTTATTAAGGAGAAGCCACAGTATACTCCTGAGAGGTGGCAGCAGGCCTGAGCAGACAGAGAAAGAGTGGCTCAGAAGGCCCCGGCAGTTAAAATCTGCGAGGCTTATAATTTTTTTTCTTTTCTTTTTGGCGAGGTTTTTGCTATAGGGCGCATGTGCTCACCAGAAAGACAGAGAGAGACAGAGAGACAGAAAGTGAGAAATCACCCCCTGGGGGGATGGCCACACCACAATCCATTCTCCTCTCGGGATCTTGGGCACGCATGCACACGTGCCCGGCGTGAGTTTAAGCCACCGGGTCCAGGACTCAAATGATGGTCAACTACATGGGAGTCCAGCAACATAGCCATTACGCTAACTGCTGGTCCCCACCAGAGTGTTTTTCTATTCAGTGTTGGGTGTTTTTTTTTTGTTTTTTGTTTTTTAATTTGCCAGAGAGCAAATATGCATGCTGGAGAAAGACACAGAGAGGAAAATTGAGAAAGCATTTCCTCCATGGGAGATCGTCATATGCAATCTCCTCTCCTCCATCTCTCCTTCCTTTGGGATTTTACGAACACACATGCACCTGGTGTCTTTTTCAAGCTGCCAGATCTAGGGTTCAAACCATGCAGTCAGCTATGTGGGGTTCAGCCGCCTTAACCACTACACCACCAGCTGAACGGTGGGCATCTTTTTTTTCTTTTTTCTTTCTTTTTTTTTTTTTTTCAAACCTCATGTTGATGTTTGAGAGCCATGTAGAGACCATTCGTTAGAAGGAGTTCACCTGGAAACCACCCTGGAGGCCCTTTCTGATTATGTGGTGATAGCATTGAGCCCCATCTCTGACCCCACATTGCTGCCCAGCAGCATCCTGTCACGTTGAACTTGGTTTCCCATCAAGGCAAAACCCCAGTCCCTGCTGGAGAGGAAGAGGGGGAGCTGGGAGAATACCGACAGAAGCTCCTTATGTTCCTGGAGATCTCTAGCTACTATGACCCAGGCCGGCTCATCTGTGATTTTCCTTTTGATGGTGAGTGAATGATGGGGCCAGAGCCACATCAGCTGATGGTGACTGAAAGAAGTTCTTTTTCTGGGTGTTAACCACATGCTAATGGATACCCAGGCTGCAGCCAGTTTACTGCTTTGGAACATGCTCTTGGCCAAGTTCATCGTTCGACTGTTTCCGTAATCTAGCGTAGTGTATCTGAGAAAGACACATCTATCTATAAGCTCCATGACAACGGAGACCAAGTGTTTGCACGTGTTACTTGAAGTGCGTGGCATGTCGTAGGCACGAGGTGCTTGTCTGTGGAATGGGTGTTTTTACCCAGTTTATGCATGATTATACAAAAGATGGGATGAAGTACTTTCAACAATGGCTCCTTCCCCCATTTTTAAAATTTTAGTAACTTTCCCTTGGGGGTGGGGGGTGGCAAAGTAATAAAAATAAGATTTTCTTCTATTTTCTATTGCTCCAGTGTCCATTTTTGAATGCTTAGTCCTTGACCTTGTGCTTACGTATGGCGGTGGTGACTCATATCCCCCCAACCCCAGGCCTATTGGAAGAACGAGCTCTCCTGTTGGGGCGCATGGGGAAACATGAACAAGCTCTCTTCATCTATGTCCACATCTTGAAGGATACGAGGATGGCCGAGGAGTAAGTGGGCCCTGTCTTCTCACCTCCCAAGGAGCTGAAAAATAGGAACCCAGAGAGATGACAGATGAGGACGTCATCTCCCCACACTCGACTACAGGAGTGAGGATGGCCCCCCTTACCACCTCTGGTTGTGGCCATCATCAGGCTGCTCAAGTGGGTCCCATGGGAGGCCTCTCCTCTAGACATGGCCCCCCTCCCACCCACGCTCACCACTTTCTCCCTTGCAGGTACTGCCACAAACACTATGACCAAATCAAAGATGGCAACAAAGATGTAAGTAGTGGCCTAAAGCAGGGATGTGCGTGCACTCCCTGCCCTTTAGCACACCTCACACCTTCTGGTTATCAACTAAGGCGAGAGGGCATTGTTCTGCTGCACTGTGTCTAGAATACACATCGATTTGTCAATGTCCAGAGACATTATTGCCATAATTGGGGCGGGGCACCATTTGGCTCTTGATTTCATCAAACTTGCAGGTGAAAATGACAAGTTTTACATGCTCCACGACAGCTGTTGCTGTGAAGCTAATCCCTCTAGTCTAGAGGCGTGCTCAGTGCTGGGCGGTTCCGGGCAGGTTGCTGCCAGCCTGATGTGGGTGGCTTGTGTTTGCATGAAACAGGTGTATCTGTCCCTCCTTCGGATGTACCTGTCGCCCCCCAGCATTCACTGCCTGGGGCCAATCAAGCTGGAACTGCTGGAGCCACAGGCCAACCTCCAGGCCGCCCTGCAGGTCCTTGAGCTACACCACAGCAAACTGGACACCACCAAGGTCAGAGGGTCTTCTTGGGAGATGGAGGGCATTTGCCCCCATCGATTGAAGACAGGATGGGAGGTCGACTAGCCGGCCTGGTGTTAACATGTTGCTCGCAATTCTGGATCCACGTGGAAAATGACGGGTTTGTTCCCCAGTGGCCGTGTACGTGCTTGCTGTGTGCACTCATGATCCTGACCAAATAGAGAGGCTGGGGGTGGTCCTGGCAAGAGAGTCTGTCAAGCTTATTTGTCCTTCTTTCTCTCTCTCTACCTCTCTCTCACTTTCATGAAAGAGATAAATAAGCTTAAGAAGAAGGCGAGGAAATAGGGATAAGGCCTAGGATCGCAGAACTGTGTGGTTTCAGACACTCGCTGAGTCTCATTCCTGTCCCTAGGCCATCAACCTCCTGCCAGCAAACACTCAGATCAATGACATACGCATCTTTCTGGAAAAGGTCTTGGAAGAAAATGCACAAAGAAAACGGTTTAATCAAGTGCTCAAGAACCTTCTCCATGCAGAGTTCTTGAGGGTATGGGCCTTCTCAAATCTAGGGGGGAGCTTTTACCTTTTTGTAGGAGACACTTTCCCTGTGTTCTATTCAGATGGGGACGAAACCTGTGTCCCTGTACAGTGTAGCTCAGGCCGATCCTGTGGCCGTTAAGTTGCAAGCGCTTCAAGTGAAAGATCAGTGAAGGCCAACATTGCCTGTCTGCCTCCTGCTTCAACACGCAGACCATGGAACTTCTTCCCCCACCCCTCTGTTCTTCCAGGTC